GGATGGAAAACAATACTCCATGTAACAGGAACCCAAAAGAGCAGGGGTAGCTCTCCTATTTGCAGACAAAGTGGATTTCAAACCAAAGCTAATTAAGAGAGATAAGGTCAATACATCCTTGTAAAGGGAACAAGCCAAGGGAAAGAGATGACAATCATAAATATATATGTGCTAGATATTAATGCACCCCACTATATACATATTAATGGACATGGATAATCAAGTAAGCACTAATACAGTAATAGTGGGGGACCTCAGTACCCCACTGTCACAAATAGTCAGATCAGCTAGACAAAAGATCAATAATGAAATACTAGAACTGAACCAAACTCATGAACAAATGGACTTAATAGATGTCTACAGAGTATTCCACCCCACAAAATCAGAATACACATTCTTCTCAGGTGCAGATGGGTCATTCTCCAAAATAGACTACATGCTAGCTCATGGAACATGCCTAAGTAAATACAAAGGAATTGAAGTTATCCCCTGTATACTATCAGATCATAGTGCAATGAAATTGGAGGCAAATAGCAAAAGAAACCATAAGAACTTCATAAACACATGGAAATTGAATAACACCCCTCCTGAACAACCAATGGGTCCAGAGGAAATTAAAGAAGAAATTAGACAGTTTCTACAATTAAATGACAATGCCAGTACAGCATACCAGAATTTATGAGACACAATGAAAGCAGTCCTACAAGGGAAATTCATAGCAGTGAATAGCCATATTAGGAAAACAGAGCAAGCCTAAATAAACAACCTGATACTGAACCTCAGCCTTCTAGAAAAAGAAGAGCAAGACAAACCCAAAGCTCACAATCCCCAACTTCAAACTACAAAGCTACTGTGATAAAAACAGCATGGTACTGGCAAAGAAACAGATCCGAGGATCAGTGGAACAGTTTAGAAGATGCAGAAACAACTCCAGGCATACTCAGCCACCTGTCTTTGACAAAGGAGCCAACCACCCTCATTGGAGGAAAGATAGCCTATTTAATAAATAGTGTTGGAAAAACTGGATTTCAACCTGCCAAAGATTAAAACTAGACCCATATCTATCACCATGCACTAAACTAAGATTGAAGTGGATTAAAGATCTAAATATTAAAACAGAAACACTAAACTTGCTGGAAGATAAGTTAGGTAGAACTCTTGAAGACATTGGCATGAGAAAAGACTTTATGAACAAAATCTCAGTAGCACGGGAACTAGCACAAAAAATCAACAACTGGGATCTCATTAAAAAGCTTCTGCACCTCAAGAGAAACCACCAACAGAGCTAAGAGACAACCTACAATATGGGAAAAAATTTTTAGCAGCTGTACCTCAGACAAAGTGTTTGTAACAGCTGAATCTTGGAAACAACCCAAATGCCTGTCAACTGGTGACTGGATAAAGAAGATGTGGGTTTTTTTTTAAATAAAATGAAGTACTACTCAGCCATAAAAAATGACAAACTAGAGACATTTATAGTTAAGAGGATGCAGATTGAGGCCACACTCTTAAGTGAAATAAATTGGACACACTTTTGTAAATACCGGTGTCTCTCTGGTGTGAGAAACTGAAAGTGTAAATGAGGACCAAAATATATAATAGATAATATGAAATAGGAAGCAAAGGTTCAAAGGGGAAGGGGAAGTGGAGGGGGTGGGGGAAAGGAAAAGAAGGGAAAGAAAAAGATATGAGAGAAGAAGCGAAAAACGGAAACAAAACTTTTGTAAATAGGGTGGGGTGGAGGGGTGGAAGGCAGGGAAGGGATGGGAATGGGAAAAAATCAAGAACTAAGATAAATCATATATAGGTACAAATTCCCAATGATGAATGTGATCATAAGGTATACCTAAAATATACCAATAAAGTTAATTTAAAAATCAGTTAATAGGCACACAGTACACATTGAATGCATGTCCATGTAAAAATTAAAACATAAACTCATCATGTAAGCAAAAGCCTCCCCTCTTATTTTCTCTGGAGGTGTCTGTTAACCACATTCCCCTGCATTTACATCCTCCCCTGTGCCAGACCTCTCCCTTGAGCCTTGCGGCCTGTGACACTTTGCTCCTGAGCAAGCTGAATCATGAGTTGTGCCCCAGGTGGGTCTTTTTGGATAGCAACAAGAAATTGGAAGCTTGTGTTGGGGAGCATTTGGCTGAGTCCTGCTCTTTATTTTACAGATGGGAACCTGAACCTCAGGGAGGGGAAGCAACTATCTTGAAGAATTTGATCAGGGCTTTTATGTCAGAAGTGCTTTGCTCATTCCCAGCCCCATCCTGGCCCTAGGACCATCCACAGGTGGAGGAGGGGGTTTGGAGAACATCTGACATGGCGGGGAGCTCAGTTCTGGCTCCACTGCTTTGAACGGGGCAGTGTGGCAGAACTTTGCTTGGAGTTGGTTTGCTGAGGTTGCCTCTCAGCTTTGTCTGTGATATGTGTTATACTCAACTTCTTGTTTTATTTGGTCCTCATCACTGGAGGATGTCAGGGTCTCCTTATTATGGCATGAGGGTCTTCGTGGGCTGGCCCTGCTCCTTCCCACTCCAGCTACACTGGTCCCTTGAGATTCAGGCAGTCCTTGCCCCTGAGGTTTTGCATTACTCCTTTCTGCCCAGGGTTCTTGTTTTCTTAAGTAATATTTTTATTATGAAAAATTTCAAATGCCCAAAATAGAAAAAAACAGTGAACAGTGTAATTCTTTTTAAATCACTCAATAACTAGTCCAAGTTAATGTTGTCCCAAATGTCTCAGGGTATCTTCTTACCATTAGTTGGAAGCAGATAGAGGCAACATACGAGGATGGTTTTGAGCAGAGGAATGGTGTGGTCTGAGGTCTTGCAAGTACATAAGGAGGAATAGTGGTGGAGACACCAGTGAGGAGGCCATTGCAGTAGTTCAGCATGTGATGGTGGCCTGGAGTTGGCCAGCATGTGGAGGCAGAGGGATTAAAGATACATAATTTGGGGGTGGTTGGAGAATATATGCATACCCCCCCACCAAGCAACCTTCCTTCTGTCCCTCCTTCCTTGCCTGGATGCAGGACAATGACCTGGCCAGCAGGTGACATCATTGGTTATTTGCTGGTCTCCTGTTCTTAGAGACGACCTCTTGAGATGGGTTCTGGCACTGCCAATCCACACTCTTCATCTGGAGTGAGCAATAGCCTCTGAGGCAGTGTGGGTTTCCCTGTAGCTCGTCTCACCTGAGTTCTGTGGGTAGTTGGAGCCAGCAGTGAGGCTTGTGGAGGAGTGGGGGTGGCAGCGGGAGGCAACACTGAGTTTGTATACTAACCTCCACAGTTCCTCACCCTTTTCCTCCTCTTCTCTCACTTCTGCTGCTTTCACCTAATTGAAGGCGCTGCCCCCCTCAACTTGCAGGGGGCGCTTACTGAATTCCTTCTGGTCACTGTCTATGCACAGCGGCCTTCTGCAGATATTGTCCAGCTGGGGTCCACTGTGGAGCCCATGGCCTTGCACATGGTGCTCCCTCAGTCTAAAGTGTCCTCCTTCCCCCAGCATCCCTTGGTGATCCCTTCTCATCCTTCAGGTCTCAGCTCCCCCACACCCTCCCCAGAGAGGCATCAAAAGTGAGTCTCTTTCAGCTTCCTGCTGTCAAAACCACCTGTTTATTTTCTGTGCTGGTCTTACCATGGTTTGTCACTGTCCCTTTCCCTGTCTCTCTGTCCATGTTCTTGCTCCTGCATTTCCCTTCAGAACAAAAGCTCTGTAGGGCAGGGGCATCATCATGATACCACTGGAATCCTGGCAAGAGCAGGAGCCAACAAGTCTTTGTTGAGTGAATGAGTAAATTAGCCTGAAATTATTCCTGTTAACCATTTGGTGCCTATTCTTCCAGAATATTTGTATATAAATGCATTGAGGGAGGTATATCTGGTTTGAAAATAAATGAAATATGTAGGTTCTTCTTGAAGCTTTGATTTTTAGAAAATTCTTGTGGCTGCGGAGTCTGGAGAAGACTTGAGGAGGAGCAAGACTGGAAATTAAGAAATCAGCTGGGGGGCTGATTCAGAAGTGAAGGGAGCCTGAGCTAAGCAGAGGCCATGGTATGAGGGGAAGTGGGCAAGGAGGAACTGGCCCAGGAGGATTATGGGAGCCACTGTGTTATCCAGGGTGGCACCTGGGTGGGCTGGTTTAGTGGAGAGTGAGCTGAGTTAGAGGGCAGGAGCATCCTATGACAGGGCCTTTACATTAACTTCGGAAGGAGAATTAAGCAGCAGGAGCCAGCAGGTACGATACTGTGGAAAAGAGGCAGCAGCGAGGGCACCTGTGAGGGCTTTGATAGTCCTAAAACTCCTACCTAGATCACTGTGGCCCTCTGAGCCTTACCCAGCCCTGCCAGGCCACCTTTCCTGGGTGGCTTATTGCTAAGCCATAGTCACTTCTTGCCATACCCACCCTGGGGCCAAATGCTGACCATCACCATTGGTTAGTTATGTGACATTGGGCAAGTGCCTTAACTTCTTTTAGTATTCTCATCCCTAGCTTGGGACTGGTGACACTCTTTACGGTGGCAGGGGACATCAAAGTAACCTTTGAGATAGCACCCAGCTCAGGGGCCAGCACATAATGAAGGCATAGCACCCACTGGCCTGGGAGCCTCCATTTTCTTTGATTTGTATCATGGCTGGGAGGATACCTGTCCTAGAATAGTTGATGTGAAATTGTGTGAAGTTTGCCCTTGGATGAAGCGGAAGTCTTTACAAGAGCTGCTTCTTCTCTGGCCCTGCACTCACCTAGAAGGGGGTGCCTCAGCACAGGCAGCTGGTTTTGGCAGCTACTGCTTTGCCTGCAGTGCTTGGCCCTGCCTTGGCTGCAGGATGAACCCCGGGCAATTTCTGAAGCTGTTTTTGTCCCTGGATGGAGAAGTAAAGACTTTCTCTAGGCCTTGTGGGTGTCCTTGCCTCCAGCTTCTCCATGACCCAGGCTGGCCTCGGAGCCAGCCCATTGCTCCCAGTAGCCTTTACCCCTTTGCTATTGTAGGTTTTCAGTGCTGAATTTAAGAAAAGGAATTCTTTGCTTTGATTACTGCCCAGACAAGAACTTCCTGGGTAAGTTATCTTTATGTCCCCAAGACGCTGCTGGCCTAGCAGACCTAGTGTGAGGGGTTATGGGAGTCTTAGGATTATTGGAGCCAAGGGAAAGTATCTGTCTGACTTCCTTTCTTATCCTGCTGGTTCCCACTCATGGGCATCAGCTGGTGGTGTGCTGTTGTAAGCCAGTGATGGTGAACCTTTTAGAGGTTTCAATGATAGAAAAAGCCCACTGTAGCAGGCATGCACCATAGGTTTGCCACCAATGATGTTGGCTATGCATGGGACAGTGGTGGAGAGAAAGGGGCAAGAGGGACAGTAATGGATCATGGTGACCCTCTCCCCATCTGGCAGACCTGGCTGGGTCCAAGGTTTGGTTCTGGAAGACCATCCCCAGTGTAGGTCCCTGGTGGCTAATAGCTATTTATTGACCCTAGCAACCAGAGGGTATGACTCCCACATCCACCTGTGGAATCCCTTCATCTCAAAAAGGCCTGTGTGGTTGATGAAGGGACATCAGACCTCAGTGACACACATCATCATGGACAGCAAGAACAGCAGCATCCTCATCAGTATCTCCAGGAACAAAGTGCAGCCCTCATGGAGCAAGCCCAGGTCCACCTCGCCCCCTGCCCACCCCCAGTGCCCCTCTCCCAGTTCTGTTCCTTAAGGAATGACACTAACCGTAGGAGTAATAATCTAGCTCAGCCAGCCCTAGGGGACCAATTTTGGGAGGAGTCCGAGGCCCAAAGTTATGGGGCAACCTCCCTGCCCATTATCTCACACTGGGCTAAGGCCTGAAGGAAGGTGCCAAGGTAGAATCACCATGAAGGTGGCCACGGGTCTCTTGATGACCCCCAAAGGGGCCTGAGTCCAGCTCTGATCAATCTGTCAGAGCTGGGATCCATGTAGCCCAACCTGACTGGTTACTTTGTGGCCCTGGCCAAGTCCGTTCCTTTTCTGAGCCTCAGATTCCTCTTCCATAGACTGGGTTGCTGAATGGTTTATAGCAGAACAAACAGGTAGTGAAAGTAGTATCTGCACATAGTAGGTGTGTGATACCTGTGAGCCCTTTCCCTGTCTCCTCTACCCCCACCCCAGATCTGCACCTCTCAACTCTACCAGTGACCCCTCCTTGGCTACTTGGGTGCCCAGGCCCCCCTATGTGGGCCCAGCACTTTGCTCCCGAGCCAGTATTAGTTCAGGATACTGTCCCATCTACTGGCTGCCCAGGTCATCCCTGCAAGGGTGGGGGTGTGGCTGACAGCTCTGGGTGCCCTCTTGCAGTGGACAAGTTTGTTTTCTGGGACTAATGCTAGTAGATGGAGAACTGTCAGGGCTCTTGGGGTCACTGAGCCACCCTTCCCAACACCTCTTCATGTATGCCCCTATGTGGAATTCCCCCTACAGCCCATGAGCTGATGAAGGATCTAGGCTGGAGAGGTGGAAGGACAGGGCTGAGCTTGCTGAGGTCCTCAAGATTATTGATGTGGGGGCCGGAGATTTAGGTCAGTGGTTCTGTCACCTGCCTTGCAAGTGCAAGGACCCAAGTTCGATCCCCAGTACCAAAAAAAAAAAAAAAAAGATTAGTGATGTGCAGAGGCAAAGTATGGACTGGGTCTGGCACACTCCAAGCCCATGCCCTTCCAGCTTGCTGGGGGTACCTGTGAGCCACATGGATCCTGGAGGGCTTTCTATAGGGCTTCCCTGGGGAACATTCTTTAGCTCAAGATGAATGCAAAATGAGCTATCCTGGGAACAGGCAGGCCATTTGGGCACCACTATTGATAGCCACTCTCTGACTTAGGCTGGCTTTTCTAGCATGAGGCAGAGTGGGAACAAGTGAGGGTCTGGGAACGGGGTGCAGGCCTCCTGCTGTCTTCATCCTCAATCTCTGGAGTTAATAGCTTAAGTAGGACAGAGGCCTGAAAGTATATGGCTGTGCCTTTGTTCACCATGTGCCTGGGTTGTATGAGCATGACACATCAAAACCTGCAGTGGGTTTGCGTTAGAAGTGCTTGCTCACAGGGGTATCCACAGGACCTTAGGGCCCTCTTGCATGTTTCCCACCCCCAGAACATTCGAGTGTGGGACCTGCAGGATTATGTGTGCCTCTAGAACTTCTCTGGGAAGCAGTTTGCCCTGGGAAACTACCCCATCACCAGTGTCTATTTCAACACCAAAGGCAATACCCTCATCTGCAGCACCTACTCTGTAAGTGCTGTCTTGAGCAAGGGGACACCGAAACCAGGCTCTGATGTCCCATGGGACAGCCAAGAGCATCTGATGTCCTGTCCCTCCTGAGGTTGCTAAAGTTGCTGGCCTGGCCTGGCAACCCCCTGAGGGTGGGTTCTGGGCCAGCCCATCATCTGCCACTGCTGCATCTGTGCAGTTGGCACCTGTGATCCCTCAGTGGGGCTCTCCCAACAAGACCCTTCCTTTATGCCCCTTTGGCTCAGTGAGGATATGGGACTATCTTTCTTGCTAAATCATGAATTCCAGGAAGGTGGAGTCCATGCCTGAGCAGCTCCTGAAAAGAGAGGCTCTAGGAAAGCTATCAGGAAGACTTTGAGTTAGGACTATGCTGGTGCCCATGCGAGGTCTGTCCAACCCTGGAGGACAAGAGAAACTGGGACAAACACAAAGGGTAAACAGAGTGGTGGGTAGGGACTGTGCCCAGATGGGACCTGGGGGCTGTGAGGGTAACCAGCAGGGGCAGAGAGTTTCCATTGAAAAAGGAAAAGAGGGCATCTGTGGCTGAGCTCCTTTGAGGCTTTGTACCCTCTATTGGCCAGGTGCCTCTGGTAGGGGACCCAGATGTCCTCCTGTGCACTTGGCTGATTCTCCCCCTCGACAGCCATTTATTGAGAAGGAGGGTTACGGGTTCCTCCACATCTTTGGTGAGTGCCATATCTTGGCTATTGGCATTTGTTAAATAGAACTTTGGAGTTCATTTCAGGTCATTAAACATTATCAACTCTTACTTTTTGTGGGGAGCTGAGAATATAGTAATGAGACATTATCCTGTCTCTTGAGGGTAGAAGAAAACCAGATAATTTTAGTAGAAAGTGCTATGTATGTTGAAAGTGTTGGATGCTAGGTACCTCAGGAGCACAGAAAGAGATCCTTGCCTAGCCTGGGGCCAGGCTGGTCAGGAGAGGCTTGCTTCCTGGAGAGAACACCTAAGTGAGGATGTAGCTACTGAGAAGTAGTAAAGTGAGATGGACCACCAAGGTTTGGAGGCCTGATTCCAGGAGTGGGCACTGTGGAGTAGGGTGGGATGTTTTAACTTTATGGAAATTTCTCCCTATGGCCAGTCACAGAGAGGTCTTAGTCACTGCCCAGCTGTCTGATGTTCTCCTCATGTAGATTGGCATCCTAAAAGGTTACTTGGAGGCCCATGGGCCTATGAAATCAGGGAAGACCACAACTCACAATTCAGCACTGTGCGCTGTCCTCTACAGCAAGATCTTCAAGCAGGTGAGTGGGTAGGGCTCACCTCTGAGGCAGGTAACACAGGGTAGGACCCCTGTGTGCCTTTGTCTGCATATGGGGGTGAGAGATGTTAGAACATGGTGCTGGGGCAGCAGGATGTAGGCAGGAGGCAGTTGTGCAAGCTGAAGCTCTGAACTCCCTGTGCTGGTTGTTGGATCTTCTGATTCCTCCAAATCTTCGTGTGCTGAGCTGATGCTTCAGATTATTTCTGGACAGGCAGCTTCTTTACTCAAAGTAAGATGGAGCACCAGTCATGGATGCTCTCCACAGCTCCCAGCATGGATGCTATTCCAGAGCACTACTGTTTAGGGAAGCCACAGCTGGGCTCTGTTTGATGTGGGAAGGGAGGGAGGTCTGGTCTGTGCTCTGGGCCAGAGTAGAGGTCTTTGAGTGGTGAGACAGATGGGCATGTGGAATCATTTCTGAGTAGCAAAAACAGGGCTACCAAGGCCTCTGCCCACCCTCAGTGAGATCTCCTGCCTGGCCTGGGATCTGCACAGGTGGGCTGAATCAGCTGCAAAGAAAGGCAAATGATGGCTGGACAAGGCCAGAGCTCACCTCTGCCTGTCTTTTGTACCAGCACCTCTCACTGCCTTAGGGCTCTTCAATGCTGTTAGACAGCTTTTGTTTTTAAAATTGTCCAAACTTTTCTGGATGTTCTCAGTAGGTGGGTTGATCTGAAATAGCTTCCCTGGCTACTGTTGCATTCTAACAGTTGTGGTGGCAGCAAAGCATTTCATTGAGTGGCTTGACCACCCTTTACTCTCAGGATTTCCCTGCTGAGTGGGCAATTAGTTTACCTCCCACCTCCACCCCTGCGTGCTTTTGTCATGATTGATGTTTCAGCAAGCATCTTTTCTGAAGTAGGGGTTATTTTCTCGAGATAAATTCTGAGTTCACAGGGACTTTACCGAACTGATTCCTTCCAAAAGAATAGTGCCAGCTTTGTGACGCAGAGCTAGGGAAGGCTTGTTTTATGGGATGATTTGTGCTGCTGCAGGGGAGCCCTGGAAATGCTTCCTTGGTGTGTGGTGGGCAGGTCTGGGTCAGCTCTGGCCCTGACAGGCTGGAGACCACTGTGGGCAGTGGAGGTCCTTGCCTCTAACAACCCTAGCAGTGTGCTCCCCAACAGGTGGTGAGTGGCTGCCAGCAGGGCACAGTGAGCGTGTGGGAGATCATGACAGGGAGGAAAATGATGGAGTTCTCCGTGTCTGGTGCCCAGCTCGTTGAGCTCACTGCCATGGCCCTGGATGTGAATGAGCCGTGCCTGCTCATGGGCTTGCTGGATGGCACGATGAAGATGTGGAACTACAACACTGGAGAGTGTCTGCTGACTTTCCCCAACCCTGACCAAGTGGAGGTCAGTCTGCTCTACCAGCTGAAGCCAGAAGTAAATCATAGCTCCTGGGACCCTAGGACATGCTATTTTTGTGTGTCTCCAAAAGGCTGCATGACATGGTCAGAGTGCCTGGCTTCAAAGCTGCCTGAGTCTTTGTGTCCTTATGCAAAAAATGAAGACAGCCAACAGTGTCATCAAATTCAATGGTCTAAATCCATTAAGTTAGATAATGGGGTGTAAAAGCATGCTGAAAAATTTATGCTGGTATTAACTCAAGGGAATTATCATCATTGAGTTTTGACTTTTTCCTTGGTACATTGAGAAAGACACTTGGGGCCTAGTGCTATGCTCTTGAAGGAGCTTTAGTTTTGTTTTCTTCCATCTTCAACAGATTAGTGGCATTGTCCATATGAACAAAGCATACTACATGACAGGATGGAGTAAGAGGATCACTAATTTCATGTGAGTAGCCAGCATGGATGGTGAGTGGATAAGGCAAGTGGTTGTTCTCTCTCTATGTGTTCCTCTACTCTAGCTTTCCTATTGTGTCACATACCAAGCAGGAAATTAGTGGTGGGCAATGACCACTGCTTCTTCTACTTATCTATCCATTCTTTCATCATTTCATTAAGGCTGATATATCCTAGGCTTTCTGTCATGTGCTGGGGGGGAGTGTAGCAAGAATGGCAGCTCCCATCCCCCTGGAGCATCTCTGTGGGGGAACGTCTTAGTTTGGACTGCTATAACAGAATACCATAGACCAGGTGGCTTATAAACATCAGAAATTTGTTTTGCATAGTTCTTGAGGCAGATCAGGGTGCCAGCAGGTTTGGTGCCTGGTGAGGACCCACTTCCTGGTTCATGGAAATTTGTCTTGCTCTTCCTCTTCTGCTTTTGTGGTGATGGTGATGGAACGTAGGCCTTTTGTATGCTGGGCAAGCACTCTACAACTGAGCTGCACTTCCAACCTGAAAGCTGTCTTCTTGTTATAACCTTACCTGATGAAAGGGGTGAGGGATCTCTCTGGGGCCTCTTTTGTAAGGGAACAAATCCCATTCTTGGGGCTTCACACTCATGACCTCATCATTTTCCAAAGACTCCACCACCAGTGCCCTCACATTGGGAAATAGGTTTTTTGAGACAGGGTCTCACTATTAGTTCAGGCTGGCCTTGAACCTTGAACTCACTATGTTGCTCAGGCTAGCCTCAAACTTGATGCGATCCTCCTGCCTCAGCCTCCAGAGCGCTGGGATTACAGTTGTGCGCCACCATGTCCAGCTGTGGAAATAGGTTTTATTATATGAATTTTGGGAGAATATGAAATTCTCCCATGCATTCCTCCTCTGGTTTCTACAAATTTATGTCCTTCTCACATTCAAAATACATTCTTCTAGGCTTCAGACTGTGCCAGCAACAGTCCCCTGGGCTGGCCGAGCTAGTTTATCACTCTCAAGATTGATGTCTTTCTCAAGGAACAGAACTAGTGTGTGTCTCACCTTCCCAAGTAGCTAGGATTACAGATGTGAGCCACCATACCTCTTTTATAAGGGCACCAGTCTCATTTATGAGGACTCTACTCTTGTGAGTTAACCACCTCCGAAATCACCTCCTCCATCCCCACATTCCCTCCCATTGGGGACTAGGCCTGGAGGGAATTTGGGGGGAACACAGATGGGGTGAAGTAATCAAATAATTTCACTTATAAAGTATATTGAGTGCTATGAAGAAAAAGTAGAAGTTTCTACAGGGGTTGGGGATGGAAACCTAATCTAGTCCTAGGGAACCATCAGAATGGCTTAGTGGAGATGTCATGGGTTGGTGGATCTGAAGGATGAGCAGGAGGGGCATCAGAGAAGCACTTGGGACAGGACCACACCACAGGGTGGAATACCACATGCAGGTCCTTCCTTTTCAGTGGGCCTTTGTGGGGCTGTGATTTTCTCTGCTTTACCCTAATCCTTAACCAGATGTCTGAATGGGGTGGATTAGGATTAATACCCTGGAAGCCTGTGGTCAGAACCTTTATAGCAGGCACATAGAAAGAGTTTAGGAAATGCAGTTAAGTGAGACAGGGCTTCAAACTAGCTCCGATGCCCGAGAGCTTCTCTGAGCTGGCTTGTAACATCTGAAGGGCCATGGTTCTCCTCAAAGAGCATTAAAGGCTGTGCTTGTTGCCTTCTTTCCCTGGCCATGTCCACAGGTTCCACAAGACCAAACCAGTGCTCTTGTGCCATCACTGGCAGACCTTCCACATGGAAGATGTGCTCTGCATGGCTAAGTACTAAAACCAGTTCCTTGGGACTTCCTCCAGCACCAGGGACATCCTCTTCTGGAACGTCAACATGTTGAAGCCCATCTTGAATTTCAATGCCTCCATGAGCCCCTTGCCTTTGCAGCCTGTGAAGGTATGGTCACAGCAGAAGCACACTCTCTCTCACTTTTGTCTCAGCTGGAGGCCAGGATTGAGGAAGGGAGGGAGGGCAGGATGCACCCTGGGAAGTAGAGGGCAAATGATGTATTCTGGAGGGGCTGGAAGCTGCAAGGATAGATGATAGTTTCTTTCTTTTTTTTTTTTTTTTGGTACTGGGGATTGAACTCAGATCCTTGCGCTTGCGAGGCAGGCGGCAGAACCACTGAGCTAAACCCCCGAGATGGTAGTTTCTATGATTATATCCATTTGACAGATGAGAAAGCTGAGGCACAAAGAGATTAAACACCTTGTCTAAGGCAACAGAGCCAAGAAGGTGTACAGCCAAACTCAGGCAGTCTGACTCCAGAGCCTGGTGGCTCTAGTCCTGTCATTTCTAATAGATTTATCACTTCTTGGAGGAAGCTCCCATTTTCCTCACAACTGTTGCATGTTATTGCTGTGAGCTCACCAGGCTTATGATGGGGACCTAGAAAACTACAGGCTTGGGATTACTGTATTGTAGAAGACTAAAGTTGGTAGAGTCCTGAGGGGTCACCTTGTGGAGTGTACAGCTGTGGTAGGGAGAGATGCTTGGAAGCTCTTGCAGGGATGAGGGGCTCTGGTGGATGAGGCTTCCCCCAGAATGGCTCAGTGTTTTATCTCTTTTACAATTGGGACTTTACTCAGATTAGAAACAACTACAAAAAGCTTTGGAAACCACTGTCCATTTTATAGATGGGAGACTGGGTTCCTCACAAGAGCTGTGTCCTGCCTTTGTGGACTTAGGATATTAGTGGTAGGCACAGGGATGGGGTTATAAGCTTTGCTCTGAAGGCTTTTAAGGGTGTGAGGTTTCTGGAAAACAAGTCCTCAGGCAACTGCCTACCCAGAGGTGTTGGCATTGGGCTGGGGAGGCCCCGAGTTTCCCTCTAGGATGTTGCAGTGCCTTCAGGGATGCTCTCTTCCTGGCACAGGTACAAGAAGCAGAGGAATGTGTGGATAGCAGCCAAGGGCCCAGTAAAACCTGCATGAAGAAGATGTGGGCACATAAGGCCTCCACGAGGCTCCCTGGCCCTGGCTGGAGGACTGTGGGCAAGATCAGCCTGAGGCGGAGCCTAATGTCAGCTCCTGTGGGGATGAAACACTCAGGATCCAAGGAACCACAAAGGCCTCTTTCCCAGCAGGTGAGAGAGAGTCTCTCTCCCCATCATTGTTGTGTGTTTGTTTCCTTATTCAGGTACACTTTTCCAGGGTGTCTAGAAAAGGTGCTTTCCTACCTACTCACTTGTTTTGAGCATGATGATCAGGGAGAGTACTTCTCTGTTGTAGTCCCACTGTATCTAACCTGCTGGGCTGCCTCAAGCCTGGGCATGGTTGCTTCTCAGAGCACTGCCACACCAGGCTCCAGAGCCTGAAAACTTAGAGGCCCTGAGGAGACTGCAACCCTGAAAACCTAAAAGTAGATGCTAGAGCCTGAGCTGCTTTTTTAGTCTTCAAGCTCGAGTACCAGTTGCTGGCCCAGGAGTACCCCACAGGAGCCCCAGCAAGCCTTGCCTCCTTGGATCCTAGGCCACAAAGGCATGAGACAAGATGCAGCAAAGTACTATCCTCTTCCTTTGAGCTCTCTCGGAAATGTTCCCCAGGATTGGCTGTTCTAAGAATGACCAATAGTTTTCTTTTAGGGGTAGAGAGAAGGAACAGGAGGAACTATTGCCTCCCAACTGCAGGGGTGGCTGGGCATGGACTTCCCAACAGTGACGACAGTATTCCAGTGATGAGTCCAGGGGTCTTTTGTGTGGATCTCTTTTGGAGGAGCCAGTCCAGTTGTTTCTACAATTGAGTTCTCATTCCTGCTCCAAACACCTTCTGCAAAAAAATGGCCATTGTGGGGCCGGGGATTTAGCTCAGTGGTTTTGCCGCCTGCTGCACAAGCGCAAGGACCTGAGTTCGATCCCCGGTACCAAAAAAAAATGACCATTGCAAACATAGGGCAGTGTAGACCCAGAATGATCTGGGTCCAGAATGATCTGTGGGAGTAGTTCCTCTCTAAGGCACACCCTTTACAATACTGTAACACACTCATGACAGTATTGAAGGATCAGGGTTATGCCCCTGCCTTTCGAGCTTCTAGAACAATAGTAGGCCTCTCTGGCTTCATTTTTGGCCAGGGTGACCATTTCCATGACAAAGAAGGGTCTTCTGCAAAGGCAAACTCAAGTATCTGCTCTAGAGAGCAAAATTGCTTGTCACTGAAAAATGGAGATTGCCCAGCCTCAGAGTGTCTAAAGCCTAGCACATACCAGATAGGCTGCTGGGCTTTACATGGTGTAATATCTACTGAGGGCATCATGGAGTGGCCACTTTTCATCATCTGCCTCTGGTGTCTGTCCCTCATGGGGAAGGAAGGTACCCTTACATGACCTGGAAGGCCTGGCTTTCTTTCCAAATATCTTTCAGCACCGGCAGATCCAAGTTGTCTACCAGGTCCCTTGACAAATGGTCATTTTACAGACAGACTGAAATAAGAAGAAAGGAATCCCAGAAGAAAATGTTGCTGCAACCCAATGCATTAGTGGAGAAGGTTGGCCATGCTCAGCCATGGTGTGGGGAGTCATGGTTGGGCTGGGGTCCCTGGACAAGGAACCCACGTGGATTCACTACAGTGCCTGAGAGGCATCGCAAAGAGGATGGTGCTGTGCAGGGTTCTAGAGTCAGGGCTGCGTGTCTGGGGAGTGTTCTCCAGGGGCAGAGGTGCATACATAGGGGTGCAAGATCCTCTCCTAATTGGGGGTTAGGCTGGGGGCAGAATGGCATTTCCAGATCCCACCGTTCGAATGACTTCCCCCTACCTACAGGAGTGCTTTGTGTGTTTATGAGCGAAGCTGGTTCATTTCTGTCCTCACCTCTTCTCTACCTTCCCCTTTCTGACCCTGAACACTCCTTCACTGTGACACTTCTCCTTTTCCTGAAAGAAGAATCATAGCTGTGTTAGGGCATGTTCTAGGGACTAGGGACTGAGAACAAGGGCCCCTCAGAGCTGGTCTTGTAGTGGTGAGGAGGCAGCTGGGAATGGCTCCTGTTCCTGGCTCCAGGTTCTGAATGTTTTTCCTTAAGTCTCTTAAAAATATCTTAAATAACTTTTAAAAGTAATAATGCTAGTTAATAATAAGCAGTATTTAAGGAAAAAGAAAGATCCCATCTCACTCCTTCCTCCCCATCTCACTCCCAGCAATAGCAGTCACTGCTAATAGATCAGCTTTAACTTTTGTACTTTTTTTTTTTAAAGACCAGTGGTGTAAAATTATAAATTTTAGCTATATGTTGCCTTTTTTTTCAGTGCCAGGGATTGAGCCTAGAGTTGCACATAAGCTAGGCAAGCACTCTGCCACTGAGCTAGACCCAAGCCATTTTAAAAACATGTATATTTCGTGGATATGTTTTCATGTTTGCTGCATCTTATTTTGTCATTTTATTCTTTTGATTGCATAGTACCCCACCATTTGGGTGTTGCATGAACTTTAAGCTGGTCTTCTACTGACAGACATGTAGGTAATCCCAGTTCTTAGCTTTTCTGAAGAGGGTTGCACTGAGTATCCTCCCTATATATGCTGGGCACTGGTGTGCATACACTTCAGGAACAGTCCTTGGGGTGGAACTGTCAGCAAACTCAGCCCTTTAAATCTGTGACTCCTCTCAGGCTGGTGATGACTTGTGCTGTCAGGACACAGGTGGTTATTCATTGAGCATTTACCATCTTCCAGGCTCTGGGGAGGTAGCAGTGGACAGAGACCAACCCCTGTCCTCGTGGAGATGACACTGTGGTTGGAGTGAGAAAGACAGCTAACTGGCAGGTCAAGTGAAGGCGTGGCATGGAGTGAGCAAGGGCAGTGGAGAACAAGGAAGCTGGGAAGAAGGGAGGATGGGTGTGGATGGTGAGGCCAGCACTGCTGCTGTAACATCCTGAAGCAGCGAGGACCACAGCCTACTGTTACCTGGGAGGAGGGTGACCCGGGCAGAGGGGACAGTGAGTACAAAGGCCCTCTCAGGAAAGCTTATTTGGAAGGTCCAAGAAAGAACCTGTCTCTGTTTTCTCCCTCTTCCTCTTCCTCCCTCCACTCCACATTTTTCTGACTGTCTCTGTAATTAGAAAGTGATAAATATCTTTCATTAAAACTATAAAATTCAAGCTCCGTAGGAGTGTATAAAATAAAAGGATGGCTATCTCTCTTCTCAGTCTCTAGAGGGAACTATATGGTTAGCCTTCCAGGCCTTTTTTCTGTGCATATACAAGAACATAAATGTATGACTAGATCTCTCATACATATTCTGCAACTTGTTCCTTCTCACCTGGTACCTCCTGGGCCTGTCTATCTGTCTCTTCATGATAGTGTTTTTGGAGTCACAGCCCTCCTTTTCTAGCCATGGGGTGTTCTGGCATCCACCGTGTAGTTTATCCAGTGCCTCCCATCACTGGCAGATGGTTAAGTTTCTAGGTTTTGCCTTTGTAGAAATCACTGCAGTGAACATCTTTGTACATACATTTCGAACTTTTTTTATATTTCCCAGGAGTAAAACCTCAAGCTTAGAAATACACTACTGGAAAGCTTTTGCTATGTTGTGTTACATTTCAGCCTAATAATAATATAAGTAGCAGCTAATATTTATTGAGCTCTTAATATCTGCTAGGCAGTGAACTTGATGGTATATATAATTTTTTTTATGTTATCTTGTAAATAACCCCAGTTGATATGCACTATTCTTCTCATTTTATAGACAAAAACAGGCTAAGTGAGGTGAAATGACTTGGTTGTGAATTTCACTGCCAGAAAATGGCAGAGCCAAGGCTTGAGTCCAAGTCTATTTTCAGGCTCTGACTTTTAAAAATTCTTTGTATAGTTTAATTCTTTATAGTTACTGTTGGGAATTCCTTGTTTTTTTTTAACCTGGTCTTGCATCATGAATCTTGACCAGATTTCCAACTGGATATTTGTGTACAAAGGACTGAATGTTTACTAGTGAGATTTCAGTCACTATGATGGCAGTGTGTGCTTATGTGTGTGTGTATGTGTGACATTCTGGTAAACAAGTGTGTAAGAGTGCTTCCTGCTGATACTGCCTCTCACTCCAGGCCTCTGTGTGTCCCACTTCCTTCTCTATTTTTCCATGAGCAGCCAAGTCCCTTCTTTGGGAGTGGGGAGCTGGGCTGTGAGCAGAACACAGCTTTTCAGGATAATCCCCAGGAGAGGATCCAGAGCTTTTGGATCATGCCTGGTACCAGGCTTTCTTTAATGAAGGGAGGGACTCAGGAGGGACGGGACAAGGGTGCCCATTAAACAATAACTTGCCTTTCCCCTCTCCCCTCAGCTACTTTCTACCTCTTAATTTTGACTATGCCAACTATCTCATATAACTGGAATCATATTCATCATATTATGATTGGCTTACTTAGCATAATGTTCTTTAGGCTCATTCACATGTACCTAGCATATATCAGAATTCCCTTTTTTTAAGGCCGAACACTATTCCATTGTATGTACATGCCACATTTTGCTTATCCATCTCTTGAAGGACACTTGGGTTTGGTTTCTTCTACAGGTTAGTTATTGTCATTAATGCTGCAGTGATACTGTCTTTTGATGCACACATTTAAAATATTTTTTTATCAAGTCCAGTTTACCTATTTTTTCTTTTGCTGTCTATGTTTTTGGTGTAATATCCAAGAAGCCACTGTAAAATCCACTGTTGTTAAGCTTTTGACCTTTTTGTTCTTCTAAGGATTTATTGGTTTTAGGTCTTAAAACTGTTTTTAATCCACTTTGTGTTAATTTTTCTGTATGGTATTAGAGAAGAGTCGAACTTCATTCTTTTGCATCTAAATAACTAGTTTTCACAGAGCCATTTGTTGAAAATACTATCTTTTCCTCACAGAATAATCTCAGTACTCTTGCCAAAATTCATTTGACCTTTTTTTTTTGCGGTACTGGGGATTGAACTCAGGACCTTATGCTTGTGAGGCAGGCACAGTGACACTGAGCTAAATCCTTGGCCCTCATTTGACCTTTTATGCAAAGATTTATTTCTGGGCTATTTTATTCCATTGATCTGTATATGTTTGTCTTTATATACCACCATACTGTTTTGATTATTATAGCTTATTAGTAATTTTCTATGTCAGGAACTGTAGGTTCTCAAGGTTTGTTTTTTGTTTTCAAAATTGTTTTGGCTACTCAGGTTTCCTAGAGATTACATATGAATCTTAGGATAGACTTCTCTTTCTGTGAAAAATGTCATTAGGTTTCTGATAAGAATTGGATTTAATCAGTAGATTGTTTTGAGTAATATTGATATCTTAACAGTAATAAGTCTTCCAATCCATGACTATATGTTTCCATTTATTTATGTTTTCTTTAATTTCTTTCAGCAATGTTTTGTAGCTTTTATTATACAAATCTTTTACTTCCTTGGTTAAGTTAATTTCTAAGTATTTTATTCTATTGATGCTATTGTAAATGAAATTGCTTTTTTTTTTTTTCAGATTGTTCATTGTTAGTGTATAGAAATGCAGCGGATTTTTGTGTACTAACTTTGTATCCTGTGACTTTGCTGAAGTGATTTATTAGTTCTAACCATTTTTTGGTTAAAAATCCCTACCCTCAAGTAGCTCTTGCTCTTGTATGATGTTTTTATCATCATGTAGATAGGAAAGGACATTTTGGAAATTGTGAGACCAGCTGGGTATGGGAACTTGCCCAGGACCCTCAGGAATATGTGACAGGGCCAGAGTAAACCCTGGCTCGCAGCCCTGCTGAGCCAGGCCCACCTCTCTTGCATAGATAATCTTCCTGCAGACCAGGCCTCGCCTGCCACATACGGCTGCCATGCTGAACCGCTGCATCGATGGCTACATTTATGCTTGGTCCATCCATGGGAATGGAGGCCTGCTAGGGAAGTTCTCTGTGGACCTGGAAGATAATGGGGACATTGTGGGTACCATGGCCACTGACAAAAATGACTGGATCCTTATCACAGGAGATTGTAAAGGACTCATCAAGGTAAGGAAGAACCCTTATTGAGATTACGGATCTGGGGCCAGCCAAGCTTCTGGTTAGCTCTTTGGTATGTATGGCTCTTGCCTAGTTCCTGCTCCATCTGGGTCTGGAGTCATTTGTAAAACAATGCGGGGAGTAGGGTGGGTTACTTAGGAGTCCTCCCCTGCTCTGACATGCCCAGTGAAATGAGTGAAGCGTTGTTCAGAAGCCTCCCTGAGAAGCTTTCCTTATGAGCCCATGCTCCAGCATTGTCCTCTCACTTCTCCCTCATCTCCCAGTGGAGTAGCTCATCTGTGACCACCTGTCTTATGAACTGGTTTTGTGCTTTGTGGTGAGATATGAGGCAGGAGTGTCTTATGCTTGAATCAGCTACACTCCCTCTGCCTGCTAACCAGTGGGTCTGTCTTAGATCCCTTCTGGCCCTGAGTAGCTATTTGTTTCAGAGATGTAACTAAGAACTGCTCCCAAAGTAAAGAGTTACTGGGAGGAACCCTCAGACTGAGGTGGGGTCGGGTCAGTGAGTGCTATGCTACTAACCCATACTTTGTGCCTAGATATGGGACATCAAGGATTACTGCACTTTTGTTGGCTATCGGCCACCCCAACCCAGTGGGGTGAAGATCCCCACTGAAACAGAGAACAAGTTCCGGTTCTTAATTACTAATCGGCTCCAGACCAGTATTCCATACTACATTCCTCTGCAGGAGATGGAGGTAGGAAGATTACTGGAGTGTTGCTCAGAAAAGTGCTTTTGAGCCCTACTTAGCTGGGACTATGGTTCCCTTACTGAGATTATGGGTTTTTCATGTTTCCTTTTCATGTTTGGCTTTTGTGAAAGAATCTGTTAATCAGAGGTCCTGATTAATCAGTAAGACGCAACTATACACACACCAAATATACCTGTATACGTATATATGCAATGTACACACACAAACACATATGTGCACATACCCTATCCATGTGCTTTGATCTTTGCAGGTGGACTCTGGAGTCAGGAGTTTTTCTAAAAAGACAAAATATTTATGTATTTTCTGAATAGGTAATACATTAACATGGTGCAAAATCCCTTGATATTTAGCCGCATGGTGGTACATCCCAGCAGTCTGAGAGGCTGAGACAGGGAGTATTGCAAGTCCAGCTTAGTGACTTAGCAAGATCCTATCTCAAAATAAAAAAAAAGATTAGGGATGTAGTTCAGTGTGAAGGGCTTGAGTTTAACCCCTAGTACTATAAAAAAAGAATCATTTGATTTTGTTTCATGACTAGTGAAATTAAGCACCTTCTCCTTACTTATCAGGAAAATGCAAATAAAAACCAAATGTGATTCCACTACACTCCCACCAGAATGATTGAAACTAAAAAGATAGGCAGTAGATAGGCAAGGATGCAGATCAGCTGGAATTTTGCTGCTGGTAGGGATGTAAATTGTATATTATTTCAGAGAATTATTTGACAATAGCTACTAAGTCTGAATATATGCCTTATCCTGTGATCTAGCAATTCCACGCCTAGGTTTATACCCCAGAGAAATCCATGCAGGGAGAAACATGAATGAGAATGTTGATAGATTACTATTTGTAATAGTTCCACTCTGGAAACAACCCAAATGCTCATCATTGTAGACTGGAAACATGAACTGTGGTCTTCACACACTACAAAATAATAATTTGGGGGCTGGGGATTTAGCTCAGTGGTGCTACGTCTGCCTCACAAGCATAAGGTCCGGTGTTCAATCCTCAGTACCACCACCAAAAAAAAAAAAAAAAAAGAATAATAATTTGGCCCTAAAGGTGATGATCTACTGTATATCTACTCATTACAATTTAAGCAAAAGAAAACAAAAAAGTATATATTGTATGTTTTATGATTCTGTTTGTATAAAGTTAAAAAACAGACAAAACAAACTTTTTTTATTAGAAGTGATTATTTTTTGTGAGAGGAGTGGAGTTGTTGGAAGGTTTTGTTTTGTTTTGTTTTGTTTTTGTGGTGCTGGGGATTCAACCCAGGGCCTTACATGTGCTAGGAAAGTGCTCTACTACTGAGCTATGACCCTAGACCCTGGAAGGAATCTTGAGGGGATCTTCTGGGAGCTGACAGTGCTGTTTCATTATCTGGATTTGATCATATAATCAAGTGCAGGTATAGAAAGGCTCACATGAAGAGTCAAAGTCTCATTCCTGTCACCAGCAAGACAGTTCTTGTTCCTTGAAGTAAGCATTTTTATTGATTTGGGGTAATTCTTCTAGTATTTATTTATACAAAGACAATTTTTTGTTTTGTTTTGTTTTTTGAGACAGAGTCTTCCTATGTAATTCAGGCTGTCCTTGAACTCATGGTGATCCTCCTGCCTCAGCTTTCCAAGTGCTGGGATTACAGGCATGCACCACCACTCCCAGCTTTGCAAACACAAATATATAAAATTATTTCTTCTTATTTTTACATAGTGGTATTATGTCATACACTCTCATCTTGCTTTTCTCACTCCATAATATATCTGGGAGATCTTTGCATATCAGTATATTATTTTTTATAGGTGTGTAGTAAGGCCACAGGCTATACTATTAATACAATTGCTTTTTAAGGGAAATTTGTTTATTTTCAATATCAAGTGAATAGGAATGTTTTTTCACATATGGTAAAACACATCTGTAGAATAAATACCTGAAAGTGGGATTTCTGGATTAAAGCATTACCTGAATTTGCAATTTGTTAGTCATTTTGCAGTTTTAGGTGCCTTTTGAATTTCTGTAAAACTGTGTTCAGTATAATTTTAATATAAAAATAATTTCACTATATTCAGATCTGTTGGGAATTGGTCAACCGTTGTTATGGTTTAGATCTAAAATATTCCCCCAAAGTCTCACATGTTCAGAAGTGGGGTTCTGGGGCTGGGGATTTAGCTCAGTGGTTCCGCCACCTGCCTTGCAAGCGCAAGGACCCAAGTTTGATCCCAGGTACCAAAAAAAAAAAAAAAAAAAAGAAGTGGGGCCTGGTTGAAGGAGGCAGATCAATGGAGACATTATCCTTGGCTCCTGTTTACTGTCTCTCTCTCTCTCCTGCTATCTGGCTGCCATGGTGTGAGCAGCTGTACTGTATCAGGCCCTTTCACCATGTCATTTCTGCCTTGGAGCCAGCTGATTTTGGATTGAACCCACTGAAACTGTGAGCCTCCTTTAAATTGTGGGTGTTGGGTCTTTTACAAATACAAAAATTGTGACTAATACAAAAAATTGGTACCAATAGTAGAGTTGTTGCTATGGTTATATCTGGCCATGTGGTTCAAAAGCATTTGCAACTGATTTTTGGGAAGAATTTGGGTTAGAGGAGCCCTAGAATGCTATAAGCAGAGCTTGACTTGCAGTTCTGGTTGGATATCAGAAAACCAGAATGCTGGTAGGAATGTGGACAGCAAAGGACAAGATTATGCAGTTTTAGCTGGGAATATCCCTGTACTCGAAACAGGACTAGAGGACATGTGCATTTCATTCTGGGAAAGAATTTGTCTGGGGTTTTTTTTTTTTTTTTTTCCCTGTGTCCTAAGACTTTGTGTGACTGAATTTAAAGGTCACTGACTAATCTGATGGAGGAAATTTCAAGGTAATTGAGTGTTTGGGTGTGGCATGAATATTGCTGGCTGCTTTTACCTAGATTTACGTGAGATTCAGGAGCAAAATGGAGAGACAAAAGATGTGAAGATTTTGCTGATTGGCCAGAAAGGAAGGGTCTGTAATGTTGGGCCCAAGCAGAGTATGGTTGCTGAAAAGATATGCCAACTACAACAACCGCAAGAAAGATACTTTGAGGGCATCTCAGAAAATTACTAGATCCCGGGAATCAGAGTTCAAGGGTATAAAAGGATAAATACCTTTGAAATATTTTGCTTTGAAACAAGAGGCCCAGGGCACCCTGCTCATTTATGGCCACAAAGGGAAATATTTCCCCAGTTCAGCCATCTAGGCACTCAGAGGATGTTGCAGCCATGTTCCAAGGGGGTCAACCAGTAATCAGGTTACTGGTTGAGCTGGCAGCAGACCTTCTGCTGGTTTTTCAGGCATGCAGAATGCAAGAGTTATTGGGTCACAGAGGCTTCCACCCAGATTTTAAAAGAAGACCTGGGAGGTTAGACAAAAATGTATGACAGGGTCACAGTTCCTTCCAGGAGCCCTGAGAGAGAAATGTTTAAAGCTATGAGAGTGAAGCCAAAGGTGCACTGGAGACCTCAAGGAGTTGGAGATGCCAGAAACAGGAAATGTCTGCTGAAGAAAATCGCAGGCAGTGAGTGGAGCCAACCCAAGAGAGAAGCTATGTTGGCTGCAACCAGCAAGGGCATAGGGGTAGGGATGTCCAAGCCCTTTGAAGTTCATATCATCTCACCACAACCTGCCCAGGGTGCTGAGCATGGAGCTGTAAGATTTAATATTTGCTCTAGTGGGGTTTGCTTTTGCTTTGGTCTGATTCCTATTTCCCTATTCGTCCCTTTTAGTAGAAATATTTACCTGGTGTCATTATATATTGGAAATACTAGCTTTTTTTTTTTGTATTAAATTCTTTTATTGGTACATTGTAGGTATACAACACAATTACATTTCTCATGGGGAATTGTACCTTTATATAATACATCTTGGTTCTTATTTTTTCCCCATTCCTAGCCCTCCCTTCACGCCCTCCACCCTTCCCTATTTACAAAGACTTTATTTCCATTTTTTCCATTTCTCATCATTTTTTCCTTTCCCTTCTTTCCTTTCCCCTGCCCCTCCCACTACCCCTACCCCTTTGGACCTTTTATTCCTATTTTACATTATCGATTATTCATTCTAATCATTGGTACATTTTAGGTATACAATATAATGACATTCATCATTGGAAATTTGCACCTTTACATAGTCTCTCTTGGTTCTTGTTTTTCACCCTTGCCCAGCCCTCCCTTCAACCCCTCCAGCCCTCCCTATTTACAAAAATTTTGTTCCCATTTTTCCATTTTCTCATATTAATCCCATTCCCTTCTATCCTTTCCCTTAGCTCTCCCCCTTCCTTCCCCTTTGCCCCTTTTCTTCCTATTTCACATTACCTATTATACATTTAGTCCTTATTTACACTTTCAGTTTCTCACACCAGAGAAACTATTCGGTATTTACACATCTGTATCCTATTTATTTCACTTAAGAGTATTGCCTCAATGTGCATCCACTTAGCTATAAATGTCTCTAATTTCTCATCTTTTATGGCTGAGTAGTACTCCATTTTATAAAAAACCCACATTTTCTTTATCCAGTCTCCTGTTGATGGGCATTTGGGCTGTTTCCAAGTTTTAGCTATTACAAACTGTGCTGCGATGAACATGGGTGCACATATATCACTGTGGTATGATTCTTTTAATTTTGGGGGGAAGATCCCTAGCAGTGGAATAGCGGGGTCAAATGGGACTTCCAGTCCTAGTTCTTTGAGGTATCTCCATACTGATTTCCACAGTGCTTGCACCAGTCTACACTCCCACCAGCAGTGGAGCAGGGTTCCTCTTTCCCCATAGCTCTGCCAGCATTTGTTGTTGGTTGATTTCATGATAGCAGCCATTCTTTCTGGAGTGAAGTGGAATCTCAGCGTTGTTTTCATTTGCATCTCTCCAATGACCAGTGACGTTGAACATTTTTTCATGTATTTATTTGCTATTTCTAGGAAGTACTAGCTTTATTATTAATTTTTACATAGATTCACAGCTAAGAGTGAATTGAGTCTCAAGGGAGATTTGGGATTTGGATTTTTCAGTAATACTGAAACGGTTAAGAGGTAGACTAAATGCATGTTACATAGCAAGATGAGTGCGAACCTTTGAGAGGTCAAAGGTGGAATGTTATGGTTTAGATCTAAAACATCCCCCCAAAGTCTCATATGTTTGGAGGTGAGGCCTGGTTGGAAGAGGTAGGTCACTGAAGCATGACTTGGAAGGGTATATTCTTGTCCCTAGCTCCTTCTTTCCCTCTTTGCTTCTTGGCTGCCATGGGGATGAGCAGCTGTCCTCTTCCAGGCCCTTTATGCCACTTCTGCCTTGAAGCCAGTCAACTTTGGAACCGAGAGCCAAGATAAACCTCTCTAAGTTGTGTGTATTGGGTATTTTGTCCCAGCACTGGGAATATGACTAATACACCCATAGATTCAGTACCTGGGGAATTTATAATACTATTACAGTCATTTTAACAAAGGCATTTATTTACTGCTTACTGTGTTTAAGAGATTGTGATGAATACTGTGTGTGTGCTCTCACTGAGCCTCCAAAACAACTCTGTGAAGGAGATGTGATTTTTTTCAGATGAAGAAGATGACACAGAGAGCTTCAGCGACCTGTCTAAGCTCCCATAACTGCCAGTGTTGGACCAGGAGTCTGAATCCAGAACCTGTATTCCTAACCAACTGTCCTTAGTTTTATTTTAATTTTATTGTTTTGAGTCTTGCTCTGTAGTTCAGGCTGGCCTTGAACTTACTATGTAGCACAGGCTGGCCTCAAACTCATGGCAATCCTCTTACTTCAGCCTCCTGAGTGCTGGGATTATAGGTGTGTGCTACCCTTCCCAGCCTGTCCTTAGTTTTAAAATGATATAAATATATTGGGATTGTATTGTCCAATACAATACAGCCTTGTAATGTCAAGGTTTGGAAACTCTGGTGATGCCATTGGTATGGGTTTTGCTGCAGCACACCCACCCCATCATTGGATATTCTTTTTTACCTTTATAAATTTCAAAACTTACTACTAAGCTGCAGTAAGCAAGACTGGTTCTAACATAAGTAAAGACAGATAGATCAGTGGAAATCGCATATCTGATAAGGGATCAGTACTGGAATATATGAAGAGGGCTCATAATGTAATAAAAACAATAAATAACCCAATTAAAATAAAGGCAAAATACCTAAAAAGACATTTCCTCAAAGAAGATATATAAATGGGCTGTGAGTATATGAAACAATGTTGAACATTGTGAGCTATCAGAGAAATGCATATCAAAACCCTAATGAGGGCTGGGGATTTAGCTCAGTGGTTCCACCTGCCTGCCTGCCTCACAAGTGCAAGGTCCCGATCCCCAGTACCAAAACAAACAAACAAAAAAACTCTAATGAGACCCCACTCCACACTTACTGGGATGACTACAGATAATAACAAGTAGTCCTGGCTGGCCTTGAACTCACTATATAGTCCAGGGTGGCCTCAGACTCATGGTGATCCTCCTGTATCAGCAGAGATTACAGGTGTGTGCCACCATGCCTGGCCCTTTTGGTATTTAAGATATAAGATAGTGCTTTGATTTTCTCCTGATAGTCCATCAGGTATCCCAGTACTATTTATTGAGTCATGCTTTCTATCACCACTCTTACATATGAAAGTGTTATGATACTTGGATTGGTTTGAGTTGTCTATTTAATTTAAAGTTTTTATTCTTTTTACCATACTATATTTTACTGTAGTAGAATAAATACCTGTTCCCTAATCTTGTACTTCAAAATAGTCCTGGTAATTTTCACTCATTTTCTAATTAAGTAGATTTTCATTCTCTCAAAGTATAATGTGATCTATCACCCCCTTACTCATCCTATTCTCCCAGTGCCCAACTAGAAGGCCTGGGCTTTTGTCCTGGCCCCATCCTTTCTAGCTATGTGGACTTTTGGTGATTACTGAACATCTCTGACTCATTTCCCTCCTCTGTAAGACAGTGAGAATCCTATGGATACCATAAGGTTGTGAAGTTCAAATGGGATAATCTGTGTAGAGGCCCTTGGTAAACAATATAGATATATGAAAATACTTTCTATGGTTTTTACTAAAGGGGCCATTGAGCCCAGAGAAATGCTAGCTCTACTAAAGATTCCCAGGAAGTTAGTATAGGAAATGTCTAGAACTAGAATGCTGGCCCATGTCCTATAGCCTTCCACTGGGCTCTGCTGCCTCCAGTCCTGGGTGCTTGCTGAGGAGCCTGTCTGGAGGTGTTGGTATTAGTAGCCCTCTTTCATTGTCCCCTATAGGTTGTGAATGGTCAGACTATTTCCCTGGTTTCCCCCAAGCTTCTGATTACCTGGAAAGGCCATCTGGAGAGTGTGGCAGATATCCTATATGTGGACAGCTTGCAGCTGATTATCAGTGCTGGCCAGGATTGGGACGTCAAGGCTTGGAAACTCTCTGACGATGCCACTGGTATGGGTCCTGCTGAAGAACACCCCACCCCTAGGCTTTCTTGTCCCTGTCTCTGATGGAACACAAGCTGGCATGAACCTCCCCACAGCAACTGCAGTTGCATCAATAGTATTATAGGATGTGAGTCTGTCCATCCATTTGGCATTCTGTCCAGTATCCATTAGCCATTGATGTATACATTTATGAATCCACCCAACATTATTTGCCTTTGTATATTTTTGAAAATCATATACCTAATTAGTTGTTACTTTCTCTTTTTTAAAATAAACTTTATTGCTTTATCATACATAAAGAAAACCACACAAGCCAAAAGGGTTCAGCTTGGTGAATTTTCAGAAAGTATACATGTATATTCATAGAGCCACCATCCATGTCAAGAAACAGAAACCATTCTAAGGGATCCCCTTATCCCCTACCCTGACTGTCACTGTAAATATCTCTTCAGAAGTAACTGCCATCCTGATTTCTATATTCATAGATCAAGTATGTACAGTTTTGAACCTTGTATAAATGGAGTCATTTGATAGGTTCTCCTTGTGTCAGTTTTTTAAAAATCATTATGTTTGTGAAATTCATCCATTTATTGAGTGTAGTAGTTCATTCATTTTTGTTGAATACCATTATTTATCTGTACTCTTGTTAGTGGCCATGGGGATTGTTTGCAGCTGTTTTGAATACTGAAAAATAATGCTGCTATGAACATTCTTATATATAAGTTTTGATGAATAAATACATACATTTCTACTGGGTATTCACAAACCACAGGACATATAAAGTCTTAGTTGATGTTACCAAATGATCTTTCAAAATGATTACCAGTTTGCATCATTTCATCAGCCAGCTGTAAGAACTCTCATTATCCTGTAATTTCACCAATACTTGATATTGTCAGGACTTTAAGTCTTAGCCATCTTTTGCGCATGTAATGACATCCCATTGTGATTTTAACTTGAATTACCTTGAAGACTATGGAGGGTGAATATCTGTTTATGTATTTATGAATCACTTGACTATATTTGTTTGTTAAGTTCTTTTTCAGACTTTTTTCTATTGAATTATTTTAATTATTGTAGTTAATACTTTATGGGTATGAGTATTTCAACAATTATATATTATGTAGATGTCTCCTTCCACTTTTGTGGCCTGCTTTTTATTGTCAGCCATATCTTTTGATGAACAGAAGTTCTTACTTTTAAAGTAATTCCATGTTATCAGTCTCATCATTTTTTTGGCTTATGTTTTTGCTTCTTTTTATTATAGCACTTCCCCCCCCCAATTTTCTTACTCTCTTAAGAAAATTTTAATGGTGTGGTATACAGTTAACCATACACACTTAGTTGTGCAGTGAGTTGATCTCTAGAACTTTTTCATCTTGCATGACTGAAACTGTACCTGAATAGCAACTCCTCATTTTTCCTCTCTGCAGCACCTGGCAACCACCATTCTACCTTCTGTTTCTATGAATTTGACTACTTTAGTTACCTCATATAAGTGAAATTATGTAGTATTTGTCCTTCTGTGACTGGCTTTTAAAATTTAGCCTAGTATTCTCAAGGTTCATCTATGTTGTGGCATATAACAGGACTTTCTTCCTTTTTAAGGTAAATAATACTTTATAGGATGTAGATACCATACTCTCTTCTGTGTTCATTTTTTCAGTGGACACTTTAGTTGTTTCCATCTCTTGGCTATTATAAATAATGCTGCAACAAAACCTGGGAGTTTTTCTTCACAACCTGTTTTTATTTTATTGGTTTTTTGATAGAAAGGGGTTGCTGGATCATATGGTAGTTTTATTTTTGATTTTTTTGCAGAATTGCCATACTGTTTTCCATAGTAGCTACCCAATTTTACATTCCCACAAGGCTTTTTATTTCTCTTAGATGTTCTAATGGGTGTGAGATAATACTTCTTTGTGGTTTTAATTTTACATTTCCTTGATGATTATTGATGTTGAAAATCTTTTCATAAAACTGTTGGCCATTTGCATGTCTTCTTTGGAGAAATGTCTATCCAAATCCTTTGCTTATTTTAAAATCAGTTTTATTTTTGGCTAATGGGTTGTTATTAACCCCTTATTAGATATATAGTACATATTTACAGAATGTATCTTCCCTCTCCATAGGTTGTCTTTTTGCCCTGATTATTTCCTTTGCTGCTTAGAGCTTTTAGTTTGGTATAGTCCCACTTGTCTGTTTTTGCTTTTTTGTTGGTGCTTTTGGTGTTATATCTAAGAAATCTTTGCTAAGACTAGTGTTAGGGAGATTTTCCTTTGTGTTTTCTTCTAGGAGTTTCATAGTTCTGGATTTTATATTTAATTTTTTTTTTTTTTGTACCGGGATCAAACTTGGGTCCTTCTGCTTGCAAGGCAGGCAGCAGAACCACTGAGCTAAATCCCTGGCCAAATATATATATATATATATTTTTTGGTACCAGGGATCAAACTTGGGTCCTTGTGCTTGCGCAGCAGGCAGTGAAATCACTGAGCTAAATCCCCGGCCCTATATTTAATTTTTTAATACATTTTGAGTTGGTTTTATGTGTAGTTAGGGTAGGAATCCAGTTTTTTTTTCTTTTGCATGTAGATACCAAATTTTTCACATTTTTTTTTTTTTTTAAGGGTTAGATTTTTCCCTATTGCATAGTCTTGGCACCCTTCTCAAAGATCAGTTATTTCCTTTGCTTTGCAGAAATTTTTTAGTTTCCAGTTTTTTAGTTTTGCTTTTCTTGCCAGTGATTTCCTGCTATTCTGTTTTATTGGTTGATGTATCTATATTTATGTCAGTACCAGACTGTTTGATCGTTATAATTTTATAATATATTTTGAAGTCAGAAAATGTGAAGTTTTCAGCTTTATTTTTTCTCAAGATTGTTTTGGCAGTTCAGGATCTCTTTGTAGTTCCATATGAATTTTAGGATTTTTCCATATTTCTGCAAAAAATGACATTGGGATTTTGATAGGGATTGAATTGCATTTGTAGATCACTTTGGGTAGTATGGGCATTTTTTTAAAAGTATGGGCATTTTAACAGTATTATGTCTTCCAAACAATGAACACAAGATATGTTTTCATTATATTATATCTTCCTGTAACACATTGGTGCTAATGTTGCCCTAAATGGCCAATTTCTTCTCATATTTACCCACTTATCTACCACTTCTGGCTCTTCATTCCTGAAGTTCTAGGATCCTGTCTGTAATCAGTTTCCTTCAGCCTAAAGAACTTTATTTCTTACAATGTTATCACTGATAAATTCTCTAAGCTTTTGTCTCAAAAGATCTTTGTCTTAAAATTTTAAGGCTTGGGCCTGGGATGTAGCTCAGTGGCACTGTTACTGCCTTGCAAGTGCAAGGTCCTGAGTTTGATCCCCAGTACTGAAAAAAAAAAAAATTAAGGCTTTAAAAAAAGCTGGGTATTAAATTCCCAGTTGGAAGCTTTTTTTCTTTCAATATTTAACAAAAAGTTCATTCAGTTAACTTTTAACTTCCATATTGTCTTACTTTTTTCATTGCTGAGACAAAATACCCAACACTCAAAGGAGGAAGGGTTTATTGTAGCTCACAGTTTGTAGAGGTGTTAGTTTGTAGTTGGCTGTCTCCAAGGCAAGGTTGGGTGGCAGAGGCGTGTCACAGAGGAGAAACAGTTCATAGCAGGCAGAAAGCAGCGAAGCAGTGAAGTAGCAAAGATCCATCAACAGAAGTAGCAACAGCAACAAAAGCAGCTGCCCTCTTTGTCTCCCTTGTATTCCATCCTCGCCACAGTAGTACTCAACCCAGGGTGGGGCACCTTTATCCAAGCATCATATCCTTAATCCCAGCACCACACATCCTAGATCCAGCCACCTCCAGAAAGCCCCACTTATGACTGCTTGGGGCTTTGAGAGGATATCTAGATACAAGCCATAACACATATATTCTGTTGAAAAGTCAGTTGTATATTGCTTCTCTGAAGGTTATTTGTCCTTTTTCCCTGGCTTCTTTTGATTTTCAGCTGTTTGACTATGATATGCCTAAGTGTAGTTTTATTTGGATTTATGCTAGTAGGAGTACACCAACTTTTAAAAAAATCTATGGGTTGGTGCCTTTCATCAGTTTTGAGAAATCCTAAGACATTTTCTTTTTAGTGTTGCTTCTTCCCTATTCTCTTTCTTTTCTCATTGTGGGACCCTAGTTATATGTACTAAGCCCATATGTCTCTCATGCTCTCTTCTCATCTTTTTTCTAATCTCTGCATTTCAGACTGGATATTTTCTTTTACTTTTTACTTTTTAAATATTTTTATAATTTTGAGACAGGATCTCATTATGTTGTCCAGGCTGGCCTTGTACTTATGATTTTTCTGCCTCAGCCTCCCAAGTAGCTGAGATTACAGGTACACACCACCATGCCTGGCTTCTAGACTAGACTGTATATTTTCTACTGATCTGCTTTTGGTTCATTAATTCTGTCTTCTTATGCATGCAGCCTGGTATTGAATGTATTGAATGAGCTTTTCATTCCACTTTTAGTTTTAGAATGGCCAGTTGATTCTTTTCTATAGATTTCAACTTTCTATTGAAATTCTCCTTTCTGCCCATTTTCTTCATATTTTTACACTATTTGTAATAATTGTTTTTATCTGCTAACTCCAGTGCCTGAATCACCCAAAGGGTCTGTTATTAATGTCTATTTATTCTTTTGATTATTGGTTACATTTTCCTGTCTTTTCACACATCATAAATGTAAACAAAAAAGATTTTCCAGCCCGTCAGTGGAGCTGGATTATAGCTATAGGTAGTTCTTTTTTTTAATTTAAATTTTATATTGGTACATTTTAGATATACATATTGATAACATTCATCATAGAGGATTTGTACCTGTACATGATATATATTTTTTTCTTTTTTTCCCATTCCTCTTCCCTCCCTTCAACCCCTCTTCCCCTCCTTATTTACAAAAGCTTTGTTTCTATTTTTTTCCTTCTTTTTTTTTTTCTTGTCCTTTCCTTCCTTCCTCCTCCATCATTCTCCTTTTCATTTGAACATTTTCTTCAGTTTTCTTCTGTCTTTACTTGTCTCAAGGGTGAAATCTGTTTGGTCTGTTGTAGACTTCTTCTTTTGGAGGGACTTTGTCTCTGAATGATCTCATTTTAGCCCAACTTCACAAGTCCAGCCTCTGTGCTCAGCACATGTCCTGCTGGACAGTCAGTATGTTTAGGACCCATTAGACTCAAATCTCATGCTGGCCACAATAGCTGTCAGAAGCTCTGCTGGTTCCTCTTCTCTCTGAGCTTCCTTCTGTCTAAGCCAAGCCTTCTTCCTCAGCCTGTGCCCAGTCCAGGATGCCCCTGAGAAGAGAGCAGCTCTTAGTCTCAGTTCTTAGAAAGATTCTTCCCTTACTTAGTTTTATTTCATCTGGTTTTCCTTGCTTCTATAGTTCTCTGATGATTTCTTTAAAATGACTTTGTAACAAATCTCTTAATTTTCTTAATTCTTAAAATTCTGCAGCAGGAGAATGGTTTACTACCCACCACACACTGCCCAGAAACGGGACTTGTATTGTACTTTTTCACTGCCTGCTTTTCACTCCACCCCCCATCTTTCCTTACCTCACCCCAAGAATCCCATTGATTGATGCCTGGTCACTTTATACCCAGCTGCTTGAAGCCCATGGAGGAGCACTGGTCATTGCCATAGAACTCTTCCCATACCAACCTGCGTGTGGGGCAGGATGCTTTAGGCCTGAGCTCCAAGTATGTCCTAGGGCTAGTGACTGGTTTATTCAGGTATTTGTTCAATACCTAGCATACAGTCTGGCACATGCTGGGCACCGAATATTTGGTGAATGTTTGGGATGAAGGTAAGGGGTCACTGGCTGACTCTTGAGGGTTACAGGGCAGGGGGCAGTGGCTGCAGAGACAGGCATGTGCCAGTCCTTGTTCTGATCAGGGTCTGGTCAAATCACAGGGACGTTTGGGCTGAGTGTTTGGAAAAGGATCCAGAGTGCTACAATGGATGGTGATCAAGAACAAAGTGCAAGCCTGGAGGAGAAGGCCTATTCCACCAGCACCGTGCTCAGGGGCTCCTGTCTGGAGCTGCAGTGAGTTACCACAGCCCACTTGGTGATCTCTGGCCAAAGCAAAGGAGGCTGTGAGCCTTACCAGTCCCCAGGAAGCCTCTCCCTGGGTGGGGTAGTGCGGGCAGGGTTGGGGAAGGCCTTTGGAATGGCTGAGGCTTGGGACCTGCAGACAGCTGCGGTCCCACCCTACCCAGCTCAGTACAAACTGAGCAGCAAAGTGGGGGTGGGGGTGGGGTGTGTGTGTGATGATGGGGGGGGTGGGGGGATGGGATGCAAACCCCAAGTGTTTAGATAGGGCCCTGCCCCTGAGCCAGACTCAGATTCTCAGCCAGACTCTGCCAGAGAGGCAGAGATCCCTGCAGAGGACATTGCTACACAGCTACAGGCTTCTAGTGGGAGGGGCTAGGCCCACACCTGAGGCCCAGGTCCTAAACAGATATTTGTGTTATTTCTGATTCGTGGGGAAGAGTAGGCCACTGGCTACATCCTCCTTCTCCACCCACTCCATCCTTATTTCTGACCAAGTCTAGTAATTTGGTTTGTTCAAAATTTTTTTGAGGGTTGGAGGTGAGGCTCAGTAGTAGAGTGCTTGCCTAGTGGCAAAAGCCCTGTGCAAAGCCCTGGGCTTGATCCTTAGTATGCATGCACACACACACACAGAATTATTGAGATTCTGCTCACTTCCAGACACAACTTCTGCCTCAGACAACTCACAGTCCCTTTGGGGAGATGGACATGCAAACTCATGGCTGCAGTTCTGTGTATGGTGTTAGGAATATTAGGTATAGGGGTGGCTTAGAAGATAAGCTGTCTGATTCAGGAGATCAAGTAAGGAAGGCTTCATAGGAGAGATTTTGGAGTTGAGTTTTGACATATATGTAGGAGTTTGCCAGCACAAATAGAATCTTTGTAGCTCCTGTGCTCCCATCATGGCATATGCTTTGACAGTCCTGTGAAGGGAGAAAAAAACAAGGCAGAGGCAGGGTTTGCCTAGGGTGAGGGTAGATGTAGAAATATTCCACTGGGGAGGTCCAGGTAAGGCCAGAGTGAGGGTTCGGGCCACCATATAGGAAAGCACAGGGTGGTGGAAAGAGTGGCAGGACTCATGTGGCTAGCCACATCTGGGTTTTGCTGACATCATCGAACACTTGCTCAGTGATGGCCCCTGGGGAGCCTATCCCTGGGAGAGAGTCAGAAATGTTGGGGAGCATCAGGCCCAGAAAGGGAGGGAGACCCTCCTGGGAAGGGGAGGGGCATGCTGTGAAGGAAAGCCCCTCTCAGAAGGGACCTGGCCGAAGCACTGGCATACCATCAGTGGGAGCAGGTGGCCCTGATGACACTGCTGAATGGGAAGGAGGACATGGAGGCTGAGGCCTGGACCCGGCTGCAGAGGATAGCCCAGATGTCCCCATGGGCCCATGAGCACTCACTGGAGGATATCGAGGCGAGCTGGAGCCAGTGGGAGTCCAGGGGCAGGCAGGTGAGGCTGCTGGTAAGCGCGGGAGGGTCAGGGGCCCCAGCTCTCAGCCTTCACTATCCCCTTTGGCTCCTGCAGGTGAGCAAAGTTGTAGGAACAGCATATAAGCCCAAGGGAGGGTTGCGGAGTCCCAGAGTCCTGTCCACTAATGTGAATTACAGCTGTATGAAGCAGCAGGTGAGGCAGCATGGGGCCCACTCCCTGAGACTTGGGGCTAAAGACCCAGGCTGCCTTTGCCCATATGGCCTCCAGTGGGGTGATGGGAGCATCTGGCCTTTGTCAGGGCTCTGGGCCACAGGCAGTTCTGACAGCAGGGTGGTCTGGCCCATGTACTTGCCAGGGCTGGTGTGGTTGAGGCCATCATTCAGGTTTCATACTGGAAGTTATCTGGCTTTTGGGAGGAGTTCCTTGGCCACGCACCTGACTGTAGCCATCAGAGCACTACTGTAGTCTGTGGCTGCTCACTTGCTTGTTAGTGTATTTACCATGTCCACACAACTGTGGGTGCTCCAGAGTAGACAGGGTGTCATGGTGCCAGGTGCACAGGAAGGGATGGAGTACCTGGGATGGGATGGCTCTCCTCGGGGGAGAGAGGGAGCAAGGGACCTTGGAGTGACCAGATGCGAGCTCCATCCTGCTTTCCTGTGGGTGGATCCCACCTTCCCCATCTCCTCCTCCTATCTGCCATTGTGCCCAGCAGGGCTTCTCTCAAAGCACAGGATGGGGAGTGCTAACGGGAGAAGTGCACACACCAGAGGACACTGTACCTGGGCTTGCTCTTGGTCCAGGTCATGAACTTATTCTTAGGAGGGAATATCCTGATGCCAGCACTCACCTCCCAGGGCTGCTGTGGGCACCAGACAAAGGAGAGGGAGCTGACCTTCTGAACAGTATGTGGCCATTAGTAACAGCACAGTGCTTTGGAGGCTGCTGCTTCTGTGGAGGCCTCAAGGTTCTTCCTGTCCTGGGTGCTGTCAGCTCCCACAGGTGCCCCGCCTCCTGCCTTCTCTGTCCCCAGATCTCACCTCAGGTCTACCAAAGCCTTTACTTCAATAAACTGACACCTGTCCAGCAGCCTGACTTCCTGATGCACCGGGCCCCAGACCAGCAAGGCTAGGGTGGCTGTTGGGTGGCCCACAATATCCAGAAGGATTTGGAGTCTGTCAGGGAGCAGATCTTTGTGGACACCCCAGCCAACACACTGGCTGCCACCCCTACCCTCTCCCCCTGTCTGTCGCTAGTAGCCTCAACCTCCAGGCTGCCAGACTCCAACTTGCCTGCTTTCCCAAGGCCCCAGTCCTGGTGAGTTTCCATAGTCCAGTCCCATGTCTTGGCCTTGCCTTGGGGTCTGTGTCCATCCTGCAGAGCTCAGAGAGCCTGTGGCTACTGGCTCCTCTCTTGAGCAACACCCAAAGCCTCTGGAAGCCACTCTTGGGTCCTCTGTGCAGAGAGGCCCTGCCCTCCTCTCCAGTGATGCAGGGCACCCCAGCCCATGGGTCCTGCAAGTCCCTGACTCACATCCTGTCAGGCTCAGGGGATGTGGGCCTTTCCTTTATGCCTCTGCTCTGGCTCTCTGGAGAAGTCCATATATCTTCTGGCCTCTCACAGAGACATAGAGAAAAAAAATAAATGTTCTCAGATGTCAGAATCATGCAGGTGGTAAGGTTGCACTGCATGTCCCTCACCCCCAAAGACACTGGCTGTACCTGAGACCAGTCACATTCCCTGGCAAGGATACAGAAAAGTGTGTCTCCCTTCAGGATGCAGTTGCCTGGCAAGTCACAGGCTGATGCCTGGGGGCAAGGGCTTGCAGGTCTCATGATGGGGTAGGAGGTGGGTCATCAGTTGGTGGAGCTGAATGGCTCAGAAATTGGTTCAGCTTCTTAGGAGAGTGAAGCCCAACTGTGTCCAGAGGCCCAGCAGCATCCATAGGTGGCACTGGCTGTTCATCCCCTTCCCCTTTGTCTGTCTATTCTCCTTTACCATCAGGCACTGCCCCCAGCCCCTGTGTTTATAAGCCACTGTGTGCAGGGCAGGCATTGGAGCTTGGTGGTGGCACTCTACTTGGCTGTGCTGCCCTCTGGCTTTGGAGCCTCCCTCTGATCCAGAAGTACCCATCCAGGTCTCTGCTGGGCCACCATCTCTCTCAGCAGCTCCACACCCCATTATGGCCATGTGGGGACTTCTGGACACAGGAGATACCATGCAGAACTCATGAAGTGTGAGGTCCCACCAGTCAGGCCCCAGCCCCAACCCTCATGGCCTTCTCGCCCTGGTGCCCAGTCACAGACATAGCCTGTGGCCACTGGACAGAAGCCTTCAGGCTCACCTTATCATGGATGAGGCACATTGTCATCCCCAGTCACTCTAGGTCAGCTGGCCTCAGGTCAGCAGAGCTGAGACCCATCCTTGGAGCCAGTCAGGGGCAGTGGCCCTGTGGATTAGCTGCTGCATTGGGGAAGAGGTCAAAGGAGGCTCCTCAGTACTCAAGTTTCAGGCTAGGTCAGTCTGAGTCCCTACTATCCACAGTGAAGGGGAGGCAATGGGCAGAAGGTGCTAGTCCCCTTGTTGCCCACAGAGCAGCCCCCTACATGTCTCCAGTGTCGGGGTGCCTGAGTTCTGTGCCAGGTGGCCTTTGAAGGGAGGGTGCTGAGTTGAAAGAGCTGGAAACTCACCCCTGCCATCACAAAGAGGTCCTTGAGCTTCCTTTTGCTTTGGGGTGGGAGGTTCAGTCTGGTGGGGGCTGCCTGCCCAGGCCAAGACCACCCTCAGCAGTGCCTCCCCTGGCCCACCCAACAAACTCGCTCTTGAGAAGAGCTTCTCCTGTTGGGCCTCTGACCTGGGTCCTAGAGCTTCTGGATGGTCCTAGAAGCTGACAACAAAGCACCAAACAGTGGCTTCAAACAAAGTCTGTTGCCTCACAGTTCTGGAGGCTGGAAGCGTGAGTTCAGGGTGTTGGCAGGGCCACCTGGAGTCCTGCTAGGAGAATCCTTCATTGCCTCTTCAAAGCTCCCTAGAACCATGGCAATTACAGGCTGGGGCAGGGGGCTTAGTGTTGAAGATTAGTCTGGTGTTGGCTGGCAAACCCTGCTTGGTGTTCCTTGGCTTGAGGCATCACCCTAATCTCTGTTTCCATAGTCACTTGGCCAACTCACTTGTGTAGGGAACAGGGAAAGGGGACGTTACTAGAACCTCTGAAGTACGTCCTAGTCTCCTGGGAGCCACGATAGCACAAGGCAAATTAGTTTATTATATAGGAAAGAGAAAAAATGAGACTTTTGAGAAGAAGCCAAGCTTTGGGCCTGATCAGTGCTGCTCTGGGTGGCAAAGACCCCGACCTGGAGCTTGCCACACCTTTATTCAGAACAGCAGCAGAAACAAAAGTAGCAATTGACTCAGAGGGCACAGAGATGATCCTAGAACAATGAGGAACTATGCAGATGAAGATTTGGTTCCTCCTAGGATGTCTCCAGCTGTTGTAGTCCTGCCCTGAAGCATCACAGCATCAAGGGACCATTGAGGTCTTAGGCGTGACTGGAGGTGAAAAAGGAGTTATATCTGGACATGCTGTAGCTGGCCTGTAGACAGGAAAACTAGGCCCTAATCATGATTTAATTATGAAATGATTTCCCCCCCAAATCATGTAGAATTGCTCCCGACAGACGTTTCTTCTCAGGACACCATGCATCCACCCTGTCCCATCATGACTTCATTTTAACAACATCTGTAATGACCCTGTTTCCAAATTGGGTCACATTTTGAAGTACTGGGGGTTAGGACTTCTGCACATCTTTTTAGAGAACACAGGTTAGCCTGAATGGCATTCTAGGTGGGGTAGTACAGGAGAGTTTGGCTACTAGAGAGATTTTTCAGTTTCTAGAGCTTTCAGCTTTTTGGCTGAGACCCTATTCTCAAGTCCCAGTTGTTCTCCTGGAAAACTTCATCTGGGGCCCCCCAAACCCAAGGCCAAGCAAGGCTGCCCATGCCTGGGTCCTCTTCTATCTGTACCACATTGAGCTTTCCTGTTGACTTTTCCCAGAGGAACTTGAACTCCAGTTTCCTCTTCACTGAAGTTGAAGGAAACAAGAGCCAGCCTTTATCAGACCCATTCCAGGTGCCAGGTACAAAGGCTGAGCACTAACCTGCTAGCAGTGCATCTGCTCATTTAGCCCTCACAGCGCTCCCTGAGGCTTGTGTTGGTGTTACCTGTTTTAACCGAGGCAGCTGTGGCCTAAGAGTGTGTGTGTCCCTACTGCTGGGCCTCATCAGCATCTCTCTGGACTTGGGGAAGGATATTGGCATCTGTCTGGGGCTCTTCCCCCATGACTAAGTAGAGTTCGTGGGCATCAGCATGAACTTGCTATTAGGGTGAGGGCTCTGAAACTGGTGCTGCTGCATCCCTCCATCCAGCACCAAGGTCGGTGTGGAGCCACATTCATACATGCACACATAGACACACACACACACACACACACACACACACACACAGTTTCACTTGAGCTTCTTAATCTTGGATGTTCATGGGTAGTTGTGGCCCACAGCAGCTGGTTGGAGCCAAGATAGACATGGTGAACCTCAGGTCATCAGGGTAAGGGTGAGGGTGGTAACCCAGGTGGGGACCAGTGAGCAGTCTGGGCTGGGCATATTGGCCTCAGCACCTGTGGGATGTTCAGGAATGGCCAGGGCAGTGGAGAGGGTCGGGGAGCATGTGTGGGGCTGGAGGTGGGGGAAAGGCCCAGTGTGCAGGCAAAGGTGTGTGCAGAGATGAGGTGCTCAGAATAAGCTTGGGAAGCAAGGGCAGGAGTGGCCTAAGGTGAAGAAGCCCTGCCCTTGCAGCAGGTGGGAGTGGAGAAAGGGAGACTGGCTCTTGAAGGGGAAGGCTGGGCACACAGGAAGTGCTCACTAACTTCCAAATAGTGGGCCTGCTAGCAGCCTGGTGTTGCCTACCACTGCACAGAAGGAGGTAGGCAAGACCAGAGGGGCTGTTCAGCCCTCAGCCCTGTGTACCCACCCATAGCCTCCTGCTTATGCATGTCCAGGTCCTGATTTCCAAAAAGCATCCTGAGCCAGGGTGAACCCCAGGACCCTGTAGCCTGACTCACTCCTGTGGAGCACAGAGAGGTTGAGCCATGGCTGAGGGTTACAGAGCACATTGGAGAGTACCTGCTGCTTTGCCCTAGGTGGTGACAAGGCTTGTGGGAGGAGAAATATTCCAGAAACATTCCAGAGCTGGGCCCTCACAGGCTGTGCTCAGTCCCCCAGAACACTTAGGGGAAGAACAGCACACTGAGCTGTGTCCATTCCACAGGAGAGGAAACCAAGACTTAGGAGTAAATGGTGCCCAGATGGTCTGGGGGCAAGGGTGTTTTGGAAAGTGAGGAAACTCAACAAATCAGGTGTTGTGAGTGTAAAAGAGCAGAATTCTCGCCTGCTCCTCATTTCTCAGATGGGGAAGCAAGATGTGCTTTGTGCTGGTGGTCTGGTGCAGGACTCCACACACATTCCCTTGGAGCTTACAACAACACTGCAGGGTGGGCCAGTGGCCCAGATACAGGCAGGGACCAAGGGAGGGGCACACAGTATGTCAGCGACAGAGCTGGGGCTCCCACCCAGGCTCCCCAGTCTCAACCCCATCCTGGCTCCTTTGTGGAAACTGTTTCCAGCCTCCCTGAGCCCTCAGCTTGGGGCTGGGATGAGCTGGATCCCTCTTCTATGGTGGAAGCTTCCTGTCTCCTATTTCCCAGGGATCTGAGGGATGGGCTGCAACCCTCACAGGGCCACAATTTGACTCCACCTTGCTCCAAGGACATCTGTTCATGTTCTAGAAACTGAGGCTCAGAGAGATTGAAACTTGCCCTTGGTCACACACAGTGCAGGGCCTGAGCAGGAGTGGGTATTGGACCCCTGCCTCAGGCTTCTGTGAGGCAGCTCCTCCAAGGGAAAGGTGCCCCATTAGAAGGGGAACCCTGGCAGGACCTGTGGCCCTGTTAGCCAGGCCTCCCTTACTGGTCCTCACCTTTGGCAGGAAATGTCCCTGAGTGTGGGAGATGAGTGATCCCTCTGGAGGTGCAGGGCTGGTGGTGGAGGGAGGTCCCCTCTGGTGCCTCCTGCATCCACCACCATCACAGGAGTCAGATCTCAGTCTGCTGGCCCCCAAGCTCCTGCAAGACTTCTTATTGCCCATATTATCCATGAGCTCTGACCTGGCCTTCTTAGGGCCACTGCCCTGCCTGTCCACCACTGTGCCCATCATCTGTACTAGCTCCACCAGTGTCAGGACCCTCACATAGTGCCCAGTGGCCACTCAGGCATCCACACCAGCGCAGAAGTGGCAATGTCAGGGCTGGTCCTTCTGCATGAGCCCAGGCCCTACACTGGAAGGAGCTGGTTGGTGGTCACAGCCCAGGGCTGCAGATATGGGATGTAACTCATCCAGCCCTGAAGGAATCTCTTCTCACTGGTAGTGACAGGCACAGTCCAGCAGCTGGTTTGTGGCTGCAGTCGCCTCAGAAA